TCAAATAAATGCAGTCTTGATGAGCATAAGATACTTAAAAAAAAAACATTAAAAAAAAGAATCCAAACTTTTGAACAGTAGGGTATGTTTTTAGTAAAAATATACACCAAGTAAATATTGCCGTATTTATTTATATTACCGTATTTATTGGTATATTGATAGATACATTTAAATGAGTAAAAATCTAGGTACAAATAATGTAAAATAACTTAGTCACTATTTTATTAAACTATTATATACTCATTCTTTTAAAAGAACAATTAAATATTTTCATTTAGTTCAGTGTGTTCATTTAGGGAAAACAGTATTTTTAACTAGAATATTACCATTTTAGTTATTAAATTTATCCATTTATACAAACATGTATAACAAACATGCATGTATTTTAGAGTAAAGACATACATAAACAAAAAGTATTGTTGAAAGGCTAATAAATATTAAGCTTTTCTTATTAGCTTATTAACATTGCCCAGCCCTATTCCAGCCATGTAACAGATGGAAAAATTGGACAGAAACACAGTGGCATGGATGCATCATCATTTTAAATAACTTTAGCACTAAAATTACAGTGCTTGACTTCATATCGAGCAGTTAAAAAGCGCTTTGATAGGCAACAATGCAAAGATAATGAAGCCTTTGACGTTACTGATGCAAAGATAATCATATCCTTCACTGGAGGATCCAGGGAGGAGGGCGACTAAGTGTGCACATGCTATCTATGATAATCCCTTTCTCATGGTGCCAAGTTACTCAACGGTCATTTCCCAGAACACAGGACCTCCCATCAACAGCTTAAAATGTACCCTATAAAACTCCCATCAAATAATAAAACACAACATGGACTTTAAATAGCCCTGTACTTTGAGCTTCTGTTTGGGTGTAGCACAAATTGAACATGTTTCAGACTTCCCTTGTGCTGTTGAGCCAAGTACAGATACGTGAATGAATATTGGAAGAAATCCAGTTATCTATAACAGTCAGCAAAATCTCTTCACACATCTGACAGAAGTATCCTGGAATAAAAATGGATTTTGGGTGCCTATTTCCTCAAAGGCTCTTGTCATGTTTACTCATGTTTTAGAGGCCAAATTGAGCCCACAGAGAGTGTGAGGAGTTACATCATAATTAGGGCTGGGTTTCGACTTTGATACTTTTTAGGCACTGACCGAATTGCCTCGATACCATCGAGTATTGAAAAATGTCTTGTCATTCGGTACCAAATTTCGATACCTAAGGGGTTAATCTGGTAAACTTCAGTGAGTCAGTAAGCATGCAGCAAGCTTGATGTGCCTAAATCAAGTGCTGGTGATTGGCTCTGGTGAGGCATCCAGGAAAAAACACTAGTTTACGCCGGTTCCGCCCAGAGACATGGCTCACACGTGAGGCTGTAGTGTGTAAGCGTCAGACCCCCATAGATGTAAGGCTACATTTACACTAGTGTGTTTTCGTTTTAAAACAGTGTTTTAAAATGAATGATCCTCGTCCATACTGGAGTTTCAGAAAAGATCTCCGTCCACACACTACACGACCGAAAACGTGTGTTGTGTGACCATTCATGCATAATGTAGCATTATGCTACATAAGATTTATACTACGCTTTTACTCAAAACTCACTTTAAACCACCATCGAGTGTATGTAATAACTTCCGATCGCGGTCTAATGCTGAAATATGCTATTTGTAGCCTTTTATACCAAGCTAATCGCTACACCTGCTTAGCATTTCTCATGAAAACACCCTGTATTGTTATGAAAATAGGCAGAATCTCATGAAAATCACATACAAATCATATACTGTCATAATCGTGTGTTTATTAGCTTCATGTTTCATCCGTGGAAATGTTTTCCTGGGTTTCTTATGTATAGAACTGAACGCGGAAGTGAAATGGATGTTCGTCATAGGAGACAGGGTGGGTTATAAATGCATAATATCTAATATGATTGACAGTTGAGCAGCGAATGAGCTTCATCTGAGTCCTAACAGCGATCGCGGAAGAGAAAACGCAGGCAGACAGCGCTGGAAGCAGCTAATGCTCATCAGTAAATCAGTGGAAAATGAATAGAAATGCTGATTCTGTCTAAGCTATGTGTTTTATTTGAACTTAATTAATAATATTTATTGTGATAAACACTGATTTATTGTGTTGGTTATAATTTGTTCCTTAGTGCTTTTTTTGTTCCTTTGTGCAGTGGCTCAGGAGATCAGTTTTTGTGTCTGAAAAAATGTCAATTAGCTGAAAAATAAAACCAAAATGTTTTTTGACGTAATGTGTCATGTAATCTTGTTAAAATGGATTTCATAAAATTGGTATCGAAAAAAGTATCGTTCAGGGAACCGGTATCGAAGTCAAGGTATCAGTATTGATATCGAAAATCTTTGAACGATACCCAGCCCTTGTCATAATGACCACTCACTGCAAGGTCAGTCCATACTTTACTGCGTTGTATGGAAGAATAGTTTGCCTGTTTACAAACAAAGCCTTAAACTCACTTGCATTTATCAAAGTGGCCCAAAAATAGCCAAAAACGTAGTTCAGATTAACTTCACTCTGCATGGAGAAAAGACTTTCTGGTTTCTACCTTACACTGACAGCCAAGCCAAAGTTAACAAAACGTAAAAAAAATAATAGGTATCATCTTTCTCGCAAATGAAAACTCCATAATGCCACCCATCAATAAACGTCTTATTCGCTCATTAAGAGGAAATAAAAATCGAGCAAACATCAACAAACAGTTATAATGATTTATTGCAATTTCTAAAACAGGGACCATCTGTATGGAACGATATTCCGGACAATTTTCAAAAGGAATTGCAAATTGTATTTTCAATTGCGTTTTCAATATGTGGACGCATAAATTGTGACATAATCCAAATGCAATTGCAAATCCTGCATTACCATTTGCATTTCCGCTTTCGCGAACGCACAGTGACTGCCAAATTTTAAATGAAAAAGCAAAGTCCATTTGCAACTGTATTTCCTATGTCTTATGAGTTACGAGCCTGTCATATTTAAATAGTAATATTAATTACCACGTCTGCTTTTTCACTCTCGCTGCGTCACGCATGTAACCTGCCAAAACTCAAATGGAATCGCAATTCCTTTTGCATTTGAATTTCCGATGTCTACATGGAAAGCTGCCAATCATCGTCAGGGGCGGGGCTATACTAGGGGGCGTGTTTGTATTGGGAGGTGACGTCACTCACAGACGACCGTGCCGAATGCTCTGATCAATGGAGGTAATCGGTAAAGGCTCCGCTAAAGGCAGCTAGCAATCAGTTTCGTACCTGTGTGAACGAATAGACAGTGCAACCTTCTTGGCACAATACATAATTATGTCTTTTTTACCCCAAATGTAGCGATTATCCCCTGCTAACAGCGGGAGCCACAACGGTACGCACAATAGGTCAACATTCACTATTAACCAAACGCTTTTCACCTGTCTCAGCATCTCTCAATGTTTACACTCACTTACACTTTTAATCCGTAATAGAGAGCGTGTCACACCTGCCTCAAGACCTTTTACCGTTTGCACTCCACTTGATGCACTTAAACAAACAGACAGTGCAAATCTACACGTATTTACCTATTTGCAACCTATATCTTATAAGACTTATTCCTATCTAATAGCCTATGTGCACCTGCCTCAAGATCTCTCAGTCTGTTTACGATCCGATAGATGCATGTGACAAAACAGAAAATGCTGCTACTCTTACTCTGCCTGCCCCAGATGACACTTCACCAGTCAGATCTAGGTGCAGCTGTCACAGAACACGCCACAGCCAAGGCAAGATAACATTAAAAATCACCTGCATCTATGTACATCTCTCACTAAATGTTACATTTTAATGACAATGCATTTTTATGTATTTTTAAATGCCACATCAGCATTAAAAGCTTTAATAATCATGGCAAAATATACAATATACAATACATTTAAACAAGAACTATACAAAATCTTAGAGTTTAATATGTGTTAGAAATTCTAAACTTTTCCATGCATTTTTAAAGTAAGTCCTCTACTACCAATGAATAAACATGCAACATATGAGGAACAGAGGAATCATGGGATACATACAGACGTATTGAAGTACAGACACAAATCCTGAATGACCATGCATTTTGAAGTTAATTAATAATTTTTTGTTATTTTTATTGCCATGTCAGCATCAAAGGCTATATTCGTAGCAAAAATAAATAATATATATATATATATATATATATATAAATAATATTTCACCACTGAGTATACTTGTTCCTGTTTGCAGTACTGGGCAACGCTGGTAAAATCTCGTTCACTGACGCTCGCGGTGATTTCAGCGCCTGCCGTCTCAATGAAGACATAAACACACGAACAACATCTCCAGAACTGCTCTGAGAGTCACTTCATGACCGTTTAAGACATGGGAAATACAGTTGCAAATGGACTTTGCTTTTTCATTTGAAATTTGGCAGTCACTGTGCGTTTGCGAAAGCGAAAATGCAAACGGTAATGCAGGATTTGCAATTGCATTTGGATTATGTCACAATTTATGCGTCCACATATTGAAAACGCAATTGAAAATACAATTTGCTATTCTATTTGAAAATTGTCTGGAATATCGTTCCATACATCTGTGTGCTTTCCTCATTAGCAATTACCCAAATCTGTGTCTGAAGTTATACTAGCTACATTGAAGTAACTTGTTGCTGTGGGCAGCAATACTGCATACAATTTTAATATAGGGTCAACCCATTGTAATAACAGAGTTATATGAACTATAAAAATGAATATCTAGAGGCTAAACTCGGAAAGAAAGTCTAGTAAATAATCTTGCCTAGTGTAATATTGAAATAGTTATCACTAAAATGTATTCCAAAGCTGCATCGAAAGCCAAAAAAGTAACTTTTAAATGAATTCTTGCTTTATATAAAATCTATAAAATGAATAAAAACTATAATATTGTCGTAAACATGGGAGGATGTGACATTTTCAGTACTCGTCTTTGCACAAGAGCACTCACCAGTTTGATGGCCACATATTCATTTGTGTAGAGGTTCTTGCCTAGCCGCAGTTCACCGAAGTTTCCACAGCCGATCTTCTTCCCAACTCTGAAGTTGGGACCAACCATAAGGACCCCAGAGTTGATCCCCGTTCCCCGGCCCCCATGTCCAGTCCTACTACTAGCTGTTTTTGACATCCTTTTCCCTTCCTCTGTCTCTCCCTTCCCACCTCTTTTCTCAAAATCCATAAGCTTGTGATACCCTGGCCTCTCCACGGTTACTCCCCTGCCATGCAAAACAGAGAAGTTTCAAAACAACCCCCAGGAAACGTGTGGGGATGGTGGCGAAAAGACAAACGGGTGAAGGGGTTTAAAAGTATCTATATACTGGTTATTTTTGAAGAGCAGAAACCGATGTCTTCTGCAGACGTGGTAGGTATCACCAAAAGTGTCGTCCCTGCATTAATCCTTCGGTGGATGGGTCTCCTTTACTGTACGTTTGCCCTCAGAGTAGCATGTCACTGCCTGAAGCAGGCAGGTTATGCTAGCATACGCACACATACAGACGCACACGCACGCACTCCCACATCCACCCACAATTGCTCCTCAACACTGACATACACAACTCCTGCTAGTGGAACCAAACAAGTGAACGTCCCCTTGTGCTCCTCATGGTTTCGTTGAAGTCAGTCTTGGGTATTATAGTGAACATTCTTCATGTTCTAACACTGCTGTAAGCAGACTCAGACAGAACCAGCATTAACAGGTTTGAGCGGTATAGTCCGTCTTTCTCTGAATGCCTGAAAGACAATGAAAAGAGAAGTAGAAAACCAGTTAAAATCAATAAATCGATCATGCACCTTCCTTATATACCAGTCATTATATAAAGACAGATTTCATTTATGTACATCTCTCACTAAATGTTACATTTTAATGACAATGCATTTTTATGTATTTTTAAATGCCACATCAGCATTAAAAGCTTTAATAATCATGGCAAAATATACAATATACAATACATTTAAACAAGAACTATACAAAATCTTAGAGTTTAATATGTGTTAGAAATTCTAAACTTTTCCATGCATTTTTAAAGTAAGTCCTCTACTACCAATGAATAAACATGCAACATATGAGGAACAGAGGAATCATGGGATACATACAGACGTATTGAAGTACAGACACAAATCCTGAATGACCATGCATTTTGAAGTTAATTAATAATTTTTTGTTATTTTTATTGCCATGTCAGCATCAAAGGCTATATTCGTAGCAAAAATAAATAATATATATATATATATATATATAAATAATATTTCAGCC